TCTATATGTAGCTGTTTGCCTGGAGTTCGGCTTTAGGTTAAATAACAACTGGTGATCCTAGCAAGGTTCATCTAAAGGCGCTTAGGCGCTTCCTTCCCTACGGTGACAACACCTGCTTAGTATAACTGCGGGGTTGTCCCCCTTCCCTGTACACTCCCAGGTTGGAAGTTGGATTGCGAGGAGAGATACGCCGCGTTCTGCCGGAGTAACTGGCGTAAGACTGGGATGTTCAGCCGCGACCAGAGCGCACACAGGAAGTTTATACAAAGACAGGAAGTGCACAGCCCAGGGAGTGAAAGCGTGTAAACAGTCAGAGGAGAATGTGATTGTAACAAAACAAAAATGGGATCCAGTTTTCCTTAAAGTGATCTGCAATGGGCCAATTTATACATCTTCTGTCCAACCACTCGCATGGCATTCCCACCACTAGATGGCGTCATGGAGCATAAGAATTTCCTACGCTCCTCAGGTCCCTCTAGTGGTGGGAATGCATTGCAAACGGCATTCGTTCAGCGTAAGACACGGGCGGGAGACTCGTAGATCGTCCCTTATGTGTTATTTCATAGCTCTGCTTTAGGGTCGCTTCACACCACAAACACTGCGTTCCAGAGCGGTCTGCCTCTGGAACGCAACCCGGCCGGCTCCCTGCGTTCAGGGCGGAAGGGGGCGTGGTGATGCATTGAAGTCAATGGCACTGCAGCCACGCCCCTTGCCGGCGGTGCGATTGGCCCTGCACCTGAACACGTGGCACATCAGTGTCTACGTTCCGGTCCAGTGTGATCTGCAAACATTGTGCTTGCAGCATTTTTGCAGATCGCACTGGACCGGAATGCATCACATTTGGGTGCGGCCGATTGCACTGCCGGCCGGGGGCGTGGCTGCAGTGAGTGCCATTGATTATAATGCACCCCACTCCCCCTCCCGCCCCTTAACGCAGGGAGCAGGCCAGGTTGCGATACAGTGCGTTCCAGAGGCTGACCGCTCTGGAACGCCCTGTTTGTGGTGTGAACCGGGGTTCTATCAAAGCTTGTGACTGCGTTAGAATGTGTGACCGGTCACACATTTTAAAGTGATCCCGCCCACTTTTTCGGCGGTGGAATATGTGACCGGCAAAAGGTAAAGAACTCCAACGCTTTCTCAGCTGTTCCAGGGCAGATCGGTTCTCCTGCACATACAATCTGCGATGCCGATCTGCCGTGGAACAGCTGAGAAAGTGTTGGAATTCTTCATTTTTTTGCCGGAGGAGCACCCAGGAGCGGGGACCGGGTGACACCCCGCCATGACGTCAATGTGCATGCGCATGACGTCAACACGCACATGTGTGATGATGTCATCGCGCATGCGCGGCAATCCAATTGATCACCAAGATGGCCGCCGGCAGAGAGAGGAGTGGACGTTCACCCGGCGGGATGAGGTATGTCGCCAGGTCCCCTCCTTTCTCCTGACACTGTTGGGCTCTCGGCCCATGACCGAGTGCCCAACTTTTTTAGAGGGGGTGACACCAAAATGACTGTCAGTCATTTTGGTGTCACCCCTCCAATGGTGTCACCCGGGTGCGAGCCGCACCCCCCGCACTCCCCTTGTGACGCCACTGCCTGGAGTTGGGCTTTATCTATTTTTTTCTTGCAATCTTTTTCTACCTTCTTTCTATTGGCCGGCAGAAAGTCCCTTCGATTCTGGCCTCAGCTGGTAGTGCGGGCTCCTATTAGCCGGGTATTTCCAGGGCTGCGATAACTTTATTAGACCTTAGTAGATAACGACGGCACAGTTTACTATACAACAATGTGTACAAACAGATATGAATTGCTGCCCCTATATAATGATAAAGTGTCAGGAGAAGAGAGCGCAGGGCTGACACTCGGCAGCCAATCAGAAATCAAGCTGCGGTTGTTTATAAGGGGAAGACCGTTGAAAGCTTTTGTGATTACAGGTGTTCAAGGGAACTTGTGATCCGTGGTTCCTGTTACACCCATTAAACATGGTCAGGAAGGTAAACTCAGCCTTTAACCCTTATATAGTCACTGGAATACAATATTATCACTACAATGGGCCTGAAAATGGAGTTCTCTTTAATCCGCTGCAGCAAGATTGCAGATAGCGCCCCACAGGCTGTGGCGGTGGTCTTCCTGAAGCCGGCGCTCAGTGACTTCCTCTCTCTCTGCTTTCTGCATCACCAATCACAGTTGGTCTTCCAAGAAAGGTTTCAATCTGGTCGGTGTCTGCGAGAAACTTTATACTTCTGGTAATTATTTTACCAGGGGCGTCCCGAGGCCAGGGGTTTAACCCGGAGCAAAGACCGGGGGACATCCTGCCGTGACGTCATCGCGCATGCGCGGCCATCTAATTTACGTCTTTGTGATGGGTGACGGCAGAGAGAGGAGGGAACGTTCACCCGGCGGGATGAGGTATCCCCCGTGTCCCCTCCTCTCTCCTGACCTTTTTAGAGGGGGTGGCACCAAAATGACTGTCAATCCTTTTGGTCTCACCCCTCCAATGGTGTCACCCAGACAGGGGCGTACCGAGGCTGGGTGACACCAGGAGCGGTAACCGAGTGTCACCCCGCCGAGACGTTGCTGCTCATGCGCGTGACGTCACCACGTGCGTGCACGATGATGTCATTGCGCAAGCGCGGCAGTATTCTGATACCTGTCGGCGGCCATCTTGGTGATGGACGCCGGCAGAGAGAGGAGAGAACGTTCACCTGTCGGGATGAGGTATCCCCCGTGTCCCCTCCTCTCTCCTGACACTGTGGGGCTCTCGGTCCATGACTGAGTGCCCGACTTTTTAGAGGGGGTGGCTCCAAAATGACTGTCAATCCTTTTGGTCTCACCCCTCCAATGGTGTCACCCAGGTGCGGGCCGCGCCCCCCCTTGTGATGCCACTGAAGGCGCTTTCTGTATGTGAGCGACGGCAAAGAGCCGGCGATGTGTGTGTCTGGGGACTTCCCCCCCCTCCGTCACAAACAGGGGTTCCCACATCACCGGACTGCTGACAGAAGGGAGCGGAGGGGATTGCTGCACTAGGATGTGTTCCCCGTTTTCCGAATACCAATGTGTCCGAATCCAAATTTCCCTTTCCGAATTTCGGATCCAAATTTGGTTCAAAAACGAAACTGAATCGGACATGTGACCTTTCTAACCAATCACACGTGTATTTCGGTTTAATGCCTCCGAATGGGTCTGAACGCGAATTTTCGTTACGGCAACATGGGAGCCATATACAGTATATACATATATTACTAAAGCTGAGGCTCCCAGACCCCAACGGCATTCGGGAGTTCCCCAATGCAATTCGGAAATTTGGATCCCGAATGCCGTTGGGGTCTGGGAGCCTCAGCTTTAGTAATATATGTATATACTGTATATGGCTCCCATGTTGCCGTAATGAAAATTCACGTTCAGACCCATTCGGATCCCGAATGCCATTTGGGTCTGGGAGCAGTGAATTACCCTGTAACTACCAGGGTCGCAGAGGTCGCAGCTGCGACCGGGCCCTGGAGTTCCGCCACTTGGAGGGGGCCTAGGACAGGAGGAAGGGGCCCCTGGTAAACCGCAGGTTACCAGGATATTTAATATCCCGGTAACCGCTAATGTCATTACCGGGACCTCTTCCTCCGGTCCTGGGCGCTACGTGCTTCACGCTGCGCCCCTCACCTTGTTCCACTGTATGTTTTACCTGATGAAGGGGATCCTTTGTGACCCCGAA